AAAATGAGTTCATCCAAATCACGCTGTGGAATGGCCGCCCATGTTCGTTGCAACAACAAAAAAAGGTCTTCTTGCGACTGGATACCCTCCATATTCGGCAGAGCTCTTCTCTGTAGCATATCCCATGCATGCTCAATCGGGTTCAAGTCTGGCGACTGAGCAGGCTAGGGCAGGACATTGATGTTAGCTGCGGCGAGAGTCTGTCTTACAACTCTTGCGGTGTGCGGTCGTGCATTATCATGCATTAACTGAAATAAGGGACCGATTTGCACTTGTAGAGGAACGATGACGTCTGATACAATCGTCTCAGCATAAATTTGAGCGTTGAGGTTGCCTCTGATCCAAATCAACTCAGTTCTTCCGCCGATCCAAATACCCGCCCATACCATGATGGTTCCACCACTATAAGGATGGACTTCCTGGCAGGATTTTAATCGCTGTTGGCGTCCAGGGGTTCTCCAGTGTCGTATACGTCTTGTATCCGGTCTCATACCAAAACGAGACTCATCAGAAAAGCACACGAAACGCCATTGTTCTTCTGCCCAATTTCTGTGTTCAAGAGCCCATTGATATCGAATCCTACGATTGTGCATTGCTATAGGTGGTACCCGTAGCGGTCTTCGGGAATGAAGGTTCACTTCATGCAAGCGGTTTCTGACTGTTTGGTCGCTAATTAAGTTCCCTGAAGAGTGATGAAGCCTCACGGCTAACATCATGGCGGTTATTGTTGGAGCTCTTCGAGATAAGATTTGAATGTATCGGTCTTGTCTCCGTGTGGTGCAGCGATACCGTCCTCCATGGCGCTCAGCCACGGTACCAGTGCTTCGGTATCGTGTCCAAAGTCGACTGATAACACTCTGACTTGTATTCAGAGCTAAAGCCACAGTACGTTGCCGGGAACCAGCTTCTATCATTCCCACGGCTCTGAGCATTTCTTTCCTGCTTAAATGACGTCGCCGCTCCATAATAACGTTGGTTTTAATCAGTAGTAGGGAAAAAGTAGCACTAATAATGTCTTCAATGCGTTGTATGTTTTTATAGGGAAAATATTGACAGCTGATTTTCATCTTTTACTCGAATTTGATTCACAGTTCCTGATTCAAATTATGAAATGCACCAAAAAGGATCCATATAAATTTATAAAATCATAAATTTATTACAAAGCCACATCTCAATCTCAAGAAATCCGCATAAAAATGCTTGATCCCTAGACACTTTTGATGTGTGTACTTATTTATGTACAGTATATGTATTCTATCCATTACCCTAGCATCCCCTAACACGAGCCTTATAGTGCTTACTTTGGGGCTAGGCTAATTGGCATGAGTGTTGGAAATATTTATTTTATTACTTATTTTATACTAATGTAAGGTTCCCCGAAGACGAAATTTGGAAGAAGGAACAAATAGAAATTACTTTTTCTCAACATGCTTCGAAATCTCAGCATTATTTGAGAAAAGTACTATATAAGCCTTGGTCACAACAAGGCATTGATAGACTTTTGCTGACCGCTGCAGTAATGTCATTAGTGAGGCGGCGAGAGGTTCTGGAGTGGCGACCACACACCGTACGACGCTCAGTGAGCAGGCCCACTAGGTGGACCGAAGGTTTACTGCAAATCGCGGGAAGCTGTTGGATACGGACAGTTCAGGACAGTGGGGATTTTTGGGGGAGACCTACGCTCAGCGGTGGGCAGTGTATGGTTGAATAATGATTATAAGTATCAAACAGACAAACTCTCTTAATACTCGAGTGGTGACTATCAGTCATATCAGGTTTTTCGTACAATTTATGTTCATTCGAACGATATACAAAGTCCTGTAAACTCCACCAGGATTCAAAGTGTCACAAAGAAAACATTTTTATAATTATTGCAATTCATGTATTAATCGGTGTCCAGTAGAGGAGTGCGGTCATAACAGTATCGATAGATCGGTGTAGTGCTTTAACGCAGGTAGACGGCAGGGTAGGCGGAATAGGCAGAGTAGGCGAGAGGAGCGGAGTACGGCGAGACGTAGGCGCCACCGGCCGGGACCACGTAGTCCAGTCCTGACGAGTAGGCCAGCACCTGAGGTGCGGGTGCGGGCGCAGGTTTGGGGGCGGCGAACGCCACAGCCAGCAAAGCGAACAAGGCAAACTGAAAAGCGACAAAACAATATTCTTAATAGAAAATCATTGACATCGCAACAAAAAATCTAGTGACGGATAGGAAAGCTTCTCGTGAATCATGTGGTCTTCAACTGTTTGATTTACCATCCAAACAGGTTAAATACATATGTTTTCCAATGCATAATGCGCATTGCGTATTCTTCCAGTAATATAATACAATTGATGGGCTAATGTCAAGGAATTCTGTCGCGACTGTTTATTGATAACAGCTCATATTAACCCAACCACGTAGCCAAAAAAAATGTTTTATCGATGAGTTTTGTGAGACATATGTTCGCAAAATAATGCGACGGCGTACTCGAAAAATAGTGCGGTGAGAGGATAATATTGATAAATAATGGAGATGCTTAAAAAAATAATTTATAGCTTTATGGCTCAATTACTCTTGGTCGTTAGCCTGTATTCGGGTGCATAAAAGACATTACACAATTCGGGCACCCGATGCAATATTTACACTGGAAGACGGATGGAAAACGAAAACTACCCAAATACGGGGTACTGTACTCCGTTCATTTACACTTAGTCGTTTACTCGAATATTCCATTGCCAATCGTATTTGGGCTAACGAACAAGTATAATTGAGACATTAACACGGTAATGTTATCATACTTTAGGTCTGCCAAAGTCTAAAGTTTTCATAATCCGAGGCAGAGCAATTATGCTATTGCTGTTCTTATGAGATTTTAATAAAATAATAAAGTTACTATGTGATCATGGCGCTTGCAACAGCAATGGCTATAATGTTAGTGACCATGAAAGTTTAAAACAATGTATAGAATAATAAATTATAATAAAAAATCTTCCTGCTGTGTCCTGAGAGGGGAAGGCAGAGAGAACTGATATTCCCAAACTAGAGCAAATTATAAAAGCAATAATTGCTACTTACGATTTTAGCGAACATGTTGAAGTGTTGTTGATTTTATGTATTGTATGATAGTAATGATCAGGAAACCGATATTTATATAGTAAGGAGCTTAGTATCAGCCTTGATCTTTATTTCACGTGGTCTGAATTGTTTGGATGACGGAGCAAGGACGAACTTAGGTTGATGATCTTCGCTGCCGGATAGTCATTCTGTCCCCTATAAGGCGTGGTACATACTATGAGCACATGGGCGTTAAAGATGTTGTGATAAGTGGCGCTGACCAAATATCAATACACCGGTAAAAGATAGGATTGTCATAGTTTATTTAAGAGAGGAAGGGTATAGCGGACATTCTGCTTGAATTGGAGCGCCCGTCTGGGGCAGCCGTATCCCCTTACAGAAGAACGCAGTAAAATAACACTTTCTTTTGGTAGTGTTGTGTTCCTGTCGGTGGGTTCCAGGGTTCCACGGGGTAGGGGATTGGGTAAGGGTAGGCAAAGGTGCGAATGATATTTTTGGTATCGAAAGCGTCTACAGGCTTTGGTGGCCGCTTACCATAAGGCAAGGCATGTATTGCACTTGCTGCCACCCCTTTTTATATATAAAAAAATAACTTCCTTACATTTATACGGTTCTTGAGATTTTAGGAGAAAACCAGCCGTCTGAGAAAGTGATATAGGACTATAGCAAAATAACCAAACCATTAGGGATTTTACCAACTAGGCAAAGAAAGTTTTTTTTTTGGTACTACCAGGTAAATTATCAAAATGTGTATATAGGTCACCTATTTTGTCTTTTTTGCATAATTAAAACATTGCAAAGATATTTTGATTTGAAATGTCACGAGACATCATATCTTGGTACATTTTTTACTTATAAGTGACGTCACGAGCCTCCACTTCCAAACTTTGACGCGCTTTATTTATGTTATGTTTTGGTTGATTGACAAAAGGAAAAAAAATAGTGTCCAGTACTTTTTATTATTCTAACTGACGGACTTAATAAAATTTCTTTTATTTCACCCCATCATCATACCTATTGACGTAAGGAGTCATTCGACTGCGAAGAATAAAGGCGAGATTCCAGACAGGGTGTAGTTTTAAGCAAAGATAAGTAAAATACTCGATAAATATGCGGATATGCGGCGTTTTATTACAGAGCTCCATGGCCACCTTCCGATTTCATCATCATACTCTGGATATCATCTAAAACCGGAGTTTCCAAGACGACTTAAAAGTTAGAAATACCAATATTTAATGCTCACGACACGAAGGCGCTGTCTTCCACAATAACGAGAATGGCATCGAATACAAAAAAAAACATTGACAGAATACATACAAAGTACTATCAATAAATATCGATTTCTTTTTGTGAATATGGTCATGTAACTACCTAAACTGTGAATTCTGTCTGTACCACGGCTGCACGTCGGCCGTCGCATTATAGAACGTACCGCAAAAACAAACCAGTTTTTTAGAATATATAAAATTTATTTATCTAATTTATTAATTGAAATTACTGAATTAAAATAAAAGTTTCGTATATTAAGGGATAAACTTTAAAATAATTTTTGACAATCGGCCGTAAAAATAAAATGAATCCGTTTTACAAAACACCATGCCGGTATGTAATAAGGCTAAATGCGCAGGAATACCAAATCATGCATTTTCTTTGGGCGCTAGTAATTGCTACTACTGGGGGCCAAGCAAATGTAGTTGGCACAAAAAAGAATGCGTAGACGTGATCGGCCTATAGAACTACCACAAAGCGTAGGTAGATACCTATATCCTGTCGTTTAACAAATAATTGATTATTGGTAGGTATATCCTCTACGACACTATTTACTAAAACAATACTGATAATATCAGTGACCATGATTTTTTAAACAATATTTTATTCAAGTACTATTTTGTATGCAATTTTTGTACCACGCATTAGTCATTTGAGTTTAAGAATGCATTTAAAGACCGGTTGTAATTTAAATTTAGATGCGTCAAAGGGTATTTGGAGGATATTGTGGATAAAGAATTCTTGTGATGTAGGGAGTGTTCAAATAGGAGTAAGAGAAAAATATACAGCCTATGTGCTACTAACTTTTCGACCCAGATAGTAGAATAAATATGATATAGAGCTGGGATGGCAGGACTGATGCCAATCCCCACGCAAAATAGGCACTGGGTGTCGAGTTGCGGAAACAGCCCGCCGTACTACTAAGCCGTACTACTAGTAGAAAGTAGAAACCTATCAATATTAATGGTTATTTAGTTTGTCTTATAATGTGAATGTGTATGTACGATGTTTTTAAATTGAAGTAAATAATGAATCATATAATGTACTTGTTCATCATGGAAAGAGATCTAAATAGTAACACAAAGACTAATAAAACTGCCTACCGGACAAATTGTGACCGAGATCGTACGTTTATATTAAAATTTAACCTTTACGTCAGCGTGATAAGAATACTGAGCTATTAATTTACTTTATATGTTTTGGGGTTTCGATACTATATAAAAGGAGTAGAAAACCTTTGAATATTAGAAGAAGAGGCGATATAGAATGCGAACAGGTAGGTACTTACTTGGTGACTGGGTTTTAATATCATCAAAACGAAGTAAATTATTTTAGCTTTTTTCCTTCATCTTAATTTAATTCCTTTTTCTTTATTTTACTTATTATCATATGTTTATTGCTTGGTAGAAATATATAGAATTTGTTTATATTTAAGTCTAAAGAAAATTTTACTGGAATAAAATCCGCGCGGTCCATGCAGCAGACGGTACTCAAACCCGCACCCTCCGCTATCCGGACGGATGCATGGATTGTTTGTATTTTTAAAATTGAAGGCCAAATATTGCTCTGAAATATAAAATTTTATTTGTTGTCACTGGCATGCGTTATGCCTGCACCTCACATGGTTGCGGACGCGCATTAAAACTTGGCATGCCCAGGTGACGTAATAATATGTGATACAAATTTTGAGTTTCACCAACTGGGCACACGTTTATCCAGTCTGTGTCGAGTTGGTATAATTATAACCTATTGTAAACTGGACAGCAGTCTCTCTTTTTCATCCCTTAGAGTGCATGATATAGATATACTGATGTCAAAATGACAAAAAGCAACTACAAATAGTCATGTGCAGTACCTCTAGCACGAACCATTATCGAATAGTTTGCGAGTCCGAAATATCACTGTCAAAATTTGTATGGCAACTTGAATAAAAGCGCCACAACGGACGTATCGAGAAGCAAAAATCAGTACACATTTGACAGAGACATTTCGCACTCGCAAACTATTCAAATTTGATATTGGTTTGTGCTAGGGGTACAGTGCTAGAGCATAACGTATAGTAGTACAATTTTTTGTCGAGATTCGCTCCTAGGGTCTTAAGAATTTCAAATGTGATCTCTAGGGAGCGAATTAAGACAATAATAGTAATAAGGGACATTGGGCAAAAATGTATGGACGCTGCACCCACGTCCGCTACGGATTAAACTACATTTGTTTGAAAGATATTATAGTCATGATGATCTGTGCCAAAGCGCATCAAATTCCATCGCGGGGGTCTTTAGTTATTTTAAGTTCAATAGGTACAAGTACTATAACAAACGAACATTAATAAAACAAGGGAATTAATTTAGTTAGTTAGTTCGAACCTGCATAAGGGGCTCAGGTATTATGGGAGTACTTCACAAGGTGCAAGCGTTCCCCTTTATGATATTCTGCCGCGCTAGAGTAAATCCCCGCATGGGTTCGGGGTTTTTCAAACATTTTGTTCGTTATAGTAAATTGTCTTCTATGTAAAACGGAGCGACCACAAATCATACAAACTTGTCCACGCTTCGGAGAAAACATGGTTCCAGTTCATCCATACTAATTGACAAAACCGATAATCGTGTTCCAATGTCCAAAGCATGTTAAATAAAAATCAATCAAGTGACAGGGAGCGCAACTGCAAGTGCTTCAACCCCCGTAAACCGTTTTGAGGTGTCTCAGTAAGTGCAAGCGCAGGATGGTCGGCAGGCTTTGTCATATATTATTATGATTACTAATAATATAAAATGAAGGTACTATAAAATGAATTTATTTAGCTACTTAAATATGCCCATGTATCATATCTTTTGACTACCAGGATATTTTTTTACGGTGTCATAATAAAAAAGGCTACTTTTTCATAGAACTATCGATTCATACTAATTACATTTTTGGCGGAACTGGGTGTGTTTTACTCATTGTCCTTTCGGGACCACTCATAGCAAGAAAATAAAGATGATGACGGGGTATAGTAAAGGGAATGCTATTGAGTCCGTCAGTCAGATTATCAGAAAAATGGACACTTATTTTTTGCTTTTGTCAATCGACCAAATAATAATAAATATAAAGCGAGTCAAAGTTTGGGAATGGGGGTTCGTGACTTCGTTTCTAAGTAAAAAAAATACTTAGACGTGACGTCCTGCTACATTGCAAATCATTATATTCCTGTAATGTTTTGAAAACGCATTTCAAACGTAGCATTCGAAGTCGAAGCAAGACGCTTTATCAACCGTTATCTATTCGCTTTCAAAGTTGACGATACAACCCCAGTCAAGCCCAGCTTCTAAACGTTGTTTCTCAAGGTCAATTTTCATAAAATTTCTCACATCATGGATTTGTTATAGTTTTTAATTATTTTTGTTACCATAAATTACGACGATAAAGTGTTGGCAATCACACTTTGGATGAATCAAAGTGCTGCTCTTATTTCGTGGTTTTAATTATAGTCACATAATTACAGTACATACAAGGTAGTAGCTTGATAATTTGGAAGAGTCCATCTAACTTTTGTTATGAGACATTACGTCGTCTCCTTATGGTTGTAAAGCAATTTGCCCGAGATGAACTAAACGACTGTAGCAAATATAACGACGTGTGTGACTCCACATAGTGTAGCTATAATAATAAATGAGTTACTCCAAGTTTTGGATAATAATAACAAAGGCAGACCTAATTGTAAATGGGGATCGCGTCTCAACCATGGCCCGTGAGTTTATAATTTACATTGATTCCCAGCAGGCGCTCTGTGTAGTTATTCCGTTATTGTTTTGCCGTTTTCAAGGACCAATCCAGCGTATAAAATGTCGACAGAATTATAAAAATAAACAGTATCACTTCCAAGGAATCATTGTCTGTACGCTCCCTTTAAATAAGTTCTATAAGAAAAATGCTGGCTAAATTGGTGAGTTAACTTAGGGCGCGAGTGGGCATTTTGCATTTTTTCTATGTTAAACTTCAGTGATTGGAATATAAGTTTTTGTTGTAAAGTATTAATAAATTCTAAAATAACTTCACGCAAATTCTTACTGGAGATTTTTTTTAAATATTTGTAGTCTTTTCTTGTTTATGGGAACTGTGAGATTCTATAGAAACTATTTTACTGTTTAAAACTGAAATGTATCCCTATAAGTATTTTTTTGCGAATAGCAGAAAAAAGCAATGTACTGGAGTGTTTTAGAAGTAAAGAGACAATATAATCTTAACAATATTTAATTCAAAATAATCCGATATCATATGAATTTGGTATGCAAACGAATGTATCAGTAATTTATTTTTAATGTCTAAACTAAACTTTAACGTGAGAATTATTTATTGCTGTTGGTTGTTCGTCATTGATTTCGAAAAGTAATTATTTAGTTTTAATTTCCACGCTTTATTTGAGAACAGTAACATTCCAGCACAACTGGGCATTGATGGACTTGGACACGCATGTGTGTCGGTCGGAAAGTAGCTTAACTTCAACGATTGCAAAAGTACTAAGTAGTACACAGTACTAAAAGAGCTTAAACCTTATTGCTCACGATATAAAAATTTTTTTAGCTGCTCCTGTTCGTTTTGCTGGCATTGGCGTCTGCTGCACCTCAATATTACTCCGGTTACGGCTATGGAAACTATGGCTATCCCAGCTATTATGGTTACTCAGGCTATAGCCCCCTAAGCTATAGCAGCTCTTACGGCACCTATGGAGCTTCTCCCTATGGATATGGATATTATTGATGGACAAAACTAAATGGATATTGGCAAGAAATGGCAACATTAAACATAGATTTTTAAGTTCCCAATTGGTTAAGTTATTTTTTTTAGAATTTTGTTTTTTTTTCGCAGTAGAAATGATAGTTTTGTTTTGAGTCACAACTAATAAATGCTGTGATTTAAAGTTTTTTTTTTTATTATTATTTATAAGTATTGTTGTTTCATGTTCCTACTAATCAAAATTTTAATATTTTCAGTAATCTAATACTTCATGTATTTATCCCTTCTTACCCGTTTCCTTTGATAACTCCATAACTTAAGAAGGAATTTACTGAATGCATCTACATTTTTTTTAGTCTGCTAATACTTTGTAGAAGGTTCTTTCATATAAAAAGTTAAACGGGGAAAAAAATGAATTTTAGAAATATGGACAGCTATAAAAATGTTAAATTAAAAGATTATACAGTGGCGTCAGACCTACCTCAATAGCTTCGCCGGAATGGTATTGGACTGTTAATCGCAAGGGAGGTGAAATAAGATCTGAATTCACTTTGGGAGTCCGTATATTTTGAAAATGAAACAAGTTCTCACTTAAAACTCTATTCTGAATTCTATTAACTTATATAATTTAAAATAAAAGGTTTGGCTTTCCTAATAGTACTTGGCCAGTATTCATATTTCTATAAAGGAGAATGAAACATTTCGCCTATATTGCGCAAAAATAAAATGTGCCTCAAAAAGTGCTTTTGATTTAATGCTTCGTATTGTTACCTTATTCACGTAGAAGCGCAATGTACTTTAAAAAATAATATTAATTAATGCTGCACTGACTTCCTGCTTAATCATTTCATGTCTTAAGGCATTTCTTAAATATGATTAAATTTCAGGAGGCTATTCAAACATTAAGTTTTAGTGAAGTCTATACATCAGACGATGTAAATGTTGCCTGTAATATTTTTATTGAGACTGTCAAATTATTTTATAACTTATGTTTTCCCTATAAGCTATATTAATAAAAAGTAAGAAAAAGTAAAATGGGTATCTAGAGGTGTTAGGACTTGTAGCAAAAAGAAGCGAGAATTGCTGTGGAGATATAGGTCTTGTCCAACTGAAGCAAATAAACTGATTCTCAAGAACTATTGCCGGCGGTACAAAAAAAATATTAATTTAACAAAGAGGGCACAAAACGATCACTTCATAAAAGCAGCTATTAGTAAGTCAAAAGCGACCTGGCAAATAATAAATAAGAATAAAAATCAGTATCCTCAGGAAACGATCCAACATTTACTTAGAGATAGAATGCGAATCTCTGATCTTTTTCATGTGGCCAATATGCTTAACAACCATTTCGTAGACTCTACACTAAAACAAAAAAAATGTAATTCTACGTACAAAATACCTACAAAACTTGAAAATTCAATATTCTTGCCTGAAATTACACCAGAAACTGTTAAAAAAAACATAAGATCATTAAAGAATACATCTAGTGTAGGTATTGATGGTATCCCCATTAAAGTAATTAAAGAAAATTTAGACTCTTTGGCTCTTCCTTTAACATTTCTAATTAATTTAAGTGTTAACTGTGGAATATTCCCTGAAGTATTTAAAACTTCAATTATTAAGCCGATCTTTAAAAAAGGAGATAAGTCGGATATAAAAAAACTATAGGCCTATTGCTCAGTTACCAATATTTTCTAAAGTATTTGAAAAAATAATACATGATATGATATATAATTTCTTTGAAAAATATAATGTGTTAGTAAATGAGCAGTTTGGTTTCCGTAAAAATAGAAATACTCAAAAGGCAATATATAGTTTACTTGATATAATAAAGACCTCTGTGGACAAAAGACAACATGTTTGTGCCATTTTTATGGACATGACCTGTGCTTTTGACAACGTTGATCATAAGTTACTATTGGCCTAACTCTATGCTTATGGGATAAGAGGCGTAGCACTTAAATTAATAGAGTAACAGGAAACAATATACTGTTATAACTAGATTCTGCAAAAAAAACAAAATTATTAGGGAATTTATGTCTCTTTGTAGAGATGTAGAGGCTGCTGTGCCTCAAGGTAGTATATGAGGACCTTTGTTCTTTAATGCATTTATAAATGACTTTCCAAATTCTATTGACCATCCCATGATTTTATTTGCTGACGACAGTACTGCTGTGATTCAATGTAATAATGAACAAGACTATGAAAATGACATTATTAATGCTATGGAAAAATTTAACAATTGGATAGTTGTTTTTGGATAGTCCAAAATAACTTGTGCCTGAATAGTAAAAAAACAAAAGTAATACACTTCAGACTAAAGATTGAAATACCCTCAGTAGCTTTAAAGTGCAATGGTGAGTAAATTGAATCTGTTTCTGAAACGAATTTTTTAGGTCTGCAAATGGATTATCAGGTTAATTGGAAATCTCACACTGAGAAATTATGTAAAAGAGTGAGTAGTTCAATTTACGCTCTATACAAACTCTCCAAGATATCTAATAGGGACACTGTTTTGACTGCATACCGAGGTTATGTTGAATGTATCTTACGATATGGAATAATTTTCTGGGGAAATTCTGTGAATAAAACTCTTTTATTCAAATATCAAAAAAGGTGTATAAGAGCGATAAATTGCCTCAAATCGACGGATAGCTGCAAACCATTTTTCATAAGTATGAAAATTCTGACTCTGCCTTCGCTGTACATTTATGAAGTAGCTGTTTTTGTGTTATTTAACAATTCTCTGTTTCCGATACTCTCAGAAAGGAACCCTAATAGAAATCATCGTCACTGGAATAGGATTTGCGCTCCTTCATTTAAAACCGTACATGTTAGTAGTAGCTTCTTTGGGATGGCTCACAGAATATTCAACAAGGTTCCGAGTTGCCTTAAATCACTACCGATAATGACTTTTAAGAAGCGTCTGTTAGCATTATTAGTTGAAAAAGCCTACTATACAGTTGAGGAATTTTTAAATGACAAATCTTGTAATTAAATCGGACATGTCTTTTATAAAAGCAGTTCTCTATTATAAAATTTAGACATATTAAAATTGTCAATTCAGTTAAGAAATGTGTATTTATTGCTATTTTGGACATTTTGCTTATTTTTCTATTTAAATTTTGACTATTAGTATGACAACTTTATGGCTTATCAAATTTATAATTAATTTATAATCTACTTTCATGTTTTTTTCGAATGCTTTTTTATTAGTTTAGTGTATTATTTATTGGTTTTGACGCAATCTCTACGTGCATGTCGGCAATCATAATACCCGGCGATGACGACGTACAACTCATTCAGTGCCCCAAGTGCATACAACCTCGGTTTTTAAAGGTAACCGTGGCTTAAAAATACACATTGGCAAGTCTCATAAATTCCCTGCCTCTGTGCCAGCAGTTTCTCCTCCTCCATCTCAAAATTCGGGCAACCAACCACTTTGGCAAATTCTTGGCAATCTCCAAAATTCACTTCCCGTCTTAAAAAGAATCCCCCGTTCCGCACGGCCTTCAGTCGCGGTTTCTTTATCACAATGCATTGAGCATGTATTAAGAGTAAACACGTCTGAGAGCTGGACAGAACTTCTAACATTTTCCTTTAGAATTTTACACATTAATCAAATTAGCACTTCTACTTCTCTAACGCAAAAAATAAAGGAGAACTGCCGCCTAAATCCTTCCGTTTATTCACTTGTCATTCCTCCCTCTCGGCTTCCAAATTCTAATTATTCCACCAAATTAATAGAGTCAAAAATTAGCAATGGTGATCTCCGAAGAGCCGCGAACCTTTTGTTTAGTAATGATGTTGTCGCCGTCAACTGCCAGGAGACCCTTAGTGCTCTTGAAGATAAGCACCCACCTCCAGCACAAAATCTTCTCCTACCTTCGCCACCTGATTCAACTCTTAATGATCATTTAATAAGCAAAGAAGCTGACATCTCAGCTGCAATATTCTCATTCAAAAGCGGCTCTGCCAGTGGTCTAGATGGACTTTCACCTCAACATTTTAAAGACCTTATTTCCATCTCAGTCGGTGACGCTGGCAAAGCCCTATTACATAATATCACTCTTTTGGTTAATTAAATGCTATCCGGCGAAGTTCCAGAAGATATAGTTGAGATCTTTTACGGAGCCAACTTAATTGCTTTAAAGAAAATAGACGTTGGTATTCACCCTATAGCTGTTGGCTCCACCTTTCGCCGTATAGCATCCAAAATTTGTTGTCACCATATTTTGTGAAGCAGCTGTTCACGCTCTTCGCACCTATCTGTCCCTTGACGCAGCGGAGGTAGTGCTGAAGGTGGATGTTAAGAATGCCTTCAACTCCGTGGATAGAGGTGCCTTGCTCTCAGCAATTCAACAAAAAACTCCTACTATTTATAATTATCTTTGGCAATGCTACAGCAAACCAACTAAACTTCTTTTCAAAAATAACCTATTGTATTCATCTGTCGGCTGTCAGCAAGGCGATCCTCTCGGGTCCGCTATTTTTAGTTTGGCTATACAACCTATTATCGATTCGCTAAATTCAAAATTTAATGTGTGGTACCTTGATGACGGAACTTTCGCTGGCGATTTTTCAACTGTTCTCTCCGATTTTCAACTCATTATTGATAAATTCAAAAGTATTGGCCTTGACTTAAATTATTCAAAATGCGAGCTATTTATTCCAGAATCAAAATTCTCACCTGAACTTTTACAATACATTATTATAAAATTTTCGACCATAGCTCCTAATATAAAAATTCTTGATACCAAATCACTCCGACTCCTTGGTTTTCCCGATTTTTGATGATGCCATCCCTATTTTTGTTAATGAACAAATTTCAAAATTCCAGCAGTCCTCAGAAAAAATGTTAAAAATTAATCCCCACATGGCCTTATACTTGATTCGTTTTTCATATATTTTTTACAAATTTTTAAAATTCATATATTTTTTACGTAGTACTCATTTTTGGCTTTTTTCCAAGACAACTCTCAATTATTGACAGTTCACTCAAAGAGACACTCTCCAAAATTCTAAATTGCTCATTTACCTTATCGGTAAGCAGGCCTCTCTCCCTGTTCGTTTCGGAGGTCTAGGTACGCGCCATATTTCCCATATTGCCCTTCCCGCTTTTCTGTCTTCTGCATACGGTACAGCCGAACTCTATAATAAAATATTATGCCCCTCTT